TGGTGTTTATAGAAAATTATTTCAATTTGATATAACAAAAAATTTTTTTGTTTTACGTAATGATGGATTTGATGGAGAATTAAAATCCAATGAAGGACTTACATTAAACTCAGCTCAAATGACATATCGTCGAGATATGTTAAGTGGTTATTTAAAACGTTTATTATTACAACAAGCATGGACAGATGATTTCCTACAATATCTTTCTCGTATTGGTCGAATGCATACAAATAATGTTGGACCAACATCTATTAATGTTGATTATATACATATTAATGCAACATTAAGTTATATTGAAACTCTTCTTATTGATGCTATTTGGGTTACAGATAATCTTGATAGTAAAACAAAAAAAGATATTTTAACAGCATTAAGTAAAGTATTTCGAATTCAAAGTGATTTATTTCTTTTACATTATCTCGAACCATTACAAGATAAGGATACATCAACAACACATCAGAAAACCGCAGAGAAATGTGTCTGTAGTTAACAAATATATCTTTCATAGTTACAAAAACTATTACATTTTTGTTTTGTTGTTCCATAAAATACACATAGAATTTTATTGTAACCTTGGCTATTTTAATGATCATCAAATAAATCTTATGAAATATAGAAACAATTAGAAATCAACGGAAAGTGTTGATTGAAGATGACAAATAGAAAGGAAATACGATAACGTATATGCAATACCGCACAATATAAATCAAAGTGCTTTACCTCAATTCAACATGTCCGTTTATATCATAATGACTTTATTTGATAGACATTTAATGAATCGTGTTGGAAAGTACTTGTCAACGTTTATTTTTTTAATTTTTCTGTTCGAAGAATTATGTCGAAACAAAAAAATCAGAGATTTAACAAAAAAGTATAATAAGATATTTTTAGCGAAAAAAAGTTGTTTGTTATTAGTGGAAGGATGTATATACCTTCATTGACTATTTACTAAATTAATAGAGAATATTTCAGATTTTGTTATACTAGAAGCAATTAAGCTGATTAGTACTGAGAGACTCGTTTTGAATTATAATGAAATTTATAATAAAGGTAATAACATACCACTGTTCTCATATAACTGAATGAAAAAAAAACAACATAAGCTTTTACGAAAATGTTTTTGTGTTCTTAATTAGTTTTTTCGTTTATAATCAAGTACAGTCATAATTATTTTACTAGCTAACAATATCTCGTGTACTATTATATGAACTTAAAAAAAAAATGTATGAAAGAAAATTATTTGTAAATTTAAATATTTATTAATTAACTGAATTAGATATTCACATTATTTAATAAAGATGAAATACATGTATTCTAATTTTGTTTTATATATAATGCTAACTTAATTATATGATATTAGTAAATGGTTTAAATTTAATCTAATCAAAACTAAGAATAATATTATTATAAGAAAGACGTGACTTACCGTTAAGTTAAAATTAATATTCTAACATTATAATGTTATAAACTGAATATAGAAATTTTCTTATTGATTGTTCTTGGAGGAAAATGAAAAAATCCAATTATTTTATTATATTATCAGTCACAAAATTATAGCATTCATCATGAGAATGATGCATAATAAGTCATACAACTAAATTTATAAATTTTCGAAATACTACATAGACTTTGAATAATAAAAGTAAACATAGAAAAATACCCAATTTTTGAACTTGAAAAAAAACTGATTTATTTGTAAATATTATTTTGAAAATAAAATAATTTCTCTATGTAATGAAATTATTATTGTTAAAAATTCCCCTATGAATTTTTTTTCTTACAAAAAAACGACTATTTACACTGATTGGTGTACTAATAATTATTCGATTATGACTAAGGTTTATTGGTTCTGGTTGAATGATTTTTACATGTTAGTGTATGATTTTAATCTATTCGAAAGAGAAATCAAACAAAGATGCGTTTGTATTTTCATAATAAGAAAGTAAAAGATGATGAATTAGATTTAAAACTCATATCAAATATTGATATTCGTCCAGTTTTATTTCATATAATTCAATATGATGAATTACATTATGATGAACATAAATTTAATACATTATCGGAATTAAATTCATTTCTTCCAACAACATCGTATACAAGTGAAGATTATTGTACATGGATAAATATTGATGGTATTCATCGAATAGATATTCTTGATGAATTATCAATTCGTTTTAATCTTCATTCATTAATTAAAGAAGATATATCAACAATGAATGAACGTATGAAATTTGATTTACTTGATAATGGTGCATCAATATATTTATTATTAAAAATTGTTTATATTCATCCAACTACAGAAAATATTCAACAAGAACAACTTTCAATAATTTTAAAAGAAAATAATTTTTTAATCACATTTCAAGAAACAAAAGATAAATTAAATTCAATTGATATATTTCAAGTTGTTAAACATCGTTTAAAAAATAATCGTGGAAGAATACGTTCATTAAAAATCGATTATTTATTTTATTGTCTTATTGATGTTATTATTGAAAATTATATGTTTGTACTTGATCATATAAGTATTACAATCGATACACTTGATAAATCATTAATGAATAGATTAAAACAAACGAATAATAATATTTTATCAACTGAAAATAATCTTAAAACATTAAAATTAATTTATGATACAAAACATAAAATGTTAAGTCTTAGAATTTTATGTCATCCATTAAGAGAAATTATTGTTAAATTACAAAAAGCACAAGATAGAATATCAATGGCTAATCAAAATGCACTTTATCGTCGACAATATCGAAGAAAAAAACGACCCAAACATATAACATTATCAGGAAATTATTTTTTTAATCCAAATTCGGATTCTCTTACACGTCGTTGGTCCCTTGGAAATATTGAAAATAAAGCACCAATATTTAATGAATATATTTTTATGTATTTTAAAGATCTTAATGATCATATAATACAACTACATGATCGTATTGATACATATTGTGATTTATCATCAAGTTTAATGTCATTTTATATGATACTTAATGATGCTGAAATGAATAGAATAATGACATTTCTTACATTAATTTCAGTTACTTTTATTCCATTAATGTTTCTTATTGGATTATTTTCAGTTAATTTTCATAATACTCCACCATTAAAATGGCATTATGGGTATTTTTGTGTTCTAGCTGCTTTAGGATCTTCAGCTAGTATTATGATTTCGTTTTTCAAATGGAAAAAATGGTTATAAAAAACTTTTTATTTATTTATTTATTTCGTATTGTAGAACAAAATGACCTTTGTTAATATATCTAATCTTTTTATTCCTAAAATAACAATTTAATAGAAGTAAAAACAAATTTATTTTTAAAATAAAACAAACATATTTTATTCTTGAAAAAGAATATAAATATAAGACCAACTATTTTTCTGTTTATTCAATTCATTGAATAGAATATGAAACATACTGGAATATATTATCCATATCCAGAATGAATACATAAGCCTCTATATAATTGAATAAGTACAATTATTGGTTAGATGTATTCATGCAATAGTGTCTGAGGAAACAGCTGTTCAAAATAGTTAGAATACTTTTTTAATGACAAAAATACAGAACGAAAAGAAAAAAGACGGCGATAGAATATTTATTGCTTCCAAAGTAGAAGCTGTTTTATTGTTTGCTTATAGTGCATTAAAAAAAATATTTTTAGCTTGTAAAAGAAAATGAAAGTAATGCGTAAATCGTAATCTACTAGATAAAAAACTATAAGTATATGTACATATACATATGTATTCAAACGATATAGATTGTTATTTTTGTATATTTTATTGTTATAGATAGAATAGATAAATCGGATTTTATTTTTATTAATAATATTGTTCTATTATTAAACAAAAACAGTTAGATGAAAGATGTCTAATACTACTGGTCATGAAGATCTTGGTGCAAAATTATTAGCCGGTGGACTATCATGTATGTTTATATCAGCTGTTCTCAATCCAATGGATGTTATTAAAGTTGTATTACAAACTCAATCACAATTAAAAGCTCTTGATAATCATCCACATCCAGTAAGTGATTTATTTTTACATCCATCTCGTTCATTATATACACATGCACGATATCATGGTACATGGCATGCAGCTAAATCAATTTACTATGAAGAAGGATATGGTCGAGGTTTAATGAAAGGTATCACAGCATCAATGTTACGTGAAGCAAGTTATAGTAGTATTCGTATGGGTCTTTATGATTCAATTAAAATTCTTTTAGCTCCAAGTGGAACCTCGAAAAATGAATTTAGTTATTGGCAAAAACTAGTTGCTGGTGCTGGATCAGGTGCATTAGGAAGTTTTATTGCAACACCAACTGATCTTGTTAAAATACGTTTTCAATCATATTCACCACGTCATAAAAATCCATATAAAAATACGTTTCATGCATTTTATTCTATTCTTAAATATGAAAATGGCATTTATGGTTTATATAAAGGTGCAACACCAACTGTTTTACGTGCAGCTATATTAACAAGTATGCAATTAAGTACATATGATCAAAGTAAACGAATTCTACTTCGTTCCGGGTATTTTCAAGATAATCCAATAACACATGTAATTGCAAGTCTTATTAGTGGATTAATAGCAACAACAGCAGTTAATCCAGCTGATATTATTAAAACTCGAATTATGAGTGATAATACAACAAAAGATCGTCTTTATAAAAATCCTATTGATTGTGCTTATAAAACAATGATGAAAGAAGGTCCACAAGCATTTATGAAAGGTTGGTTACCAAATTATCTACGTATTGGACCACATTCTCTCGTATCATTACTCTTAACAGAATTTATTCGAAAACTACTTGGTGTTGATTCATTCTAATACTATTTGCTCAATGTACACGTTGTTTATTCTTCTAATTCAACTTCTTTAATTAGAAGATTATTTCATATTTTCTATACTTTCATTTTTATCATAGTAAAAGTGAACATTTATATTTTTTTGTTTTTCATATTCATGTGAGATGAAAGCTTTTTTTTTATAGAAATAAAATCTATTCATTTGAATGATACATCATTTATTTAAATATATTCCATGATCTACTAATGATTTACGAGAACTTACACAATGTGCAGTACGTAAATATATATCTTAACATTAAAAAACATTAGAAGCAAGTTATTAATTTTTTTCGTGTTGAACAAATATCAAATGCTAATTGTCGACTAGATGATACATCGTTAACGACAGGTATGGCTTGTAGAAATTAATCAACACAGATATTTATTGTTAATAAGTGAAAATTTACTTTTATAAAATGTTATTTTATTATAAGAGCAATTAAAATTTTTTGGACGCATCATTCGAGATAACTCGATTATTTGAATCAAGTCAACGTCACTTGCCTGTCTATTCCTAGTCTATACAAACATGCAACTCAAGTCTAAGTCAAAAATCAGACTAGTCAAGCTGTGATTAATTTAGAATGGAAGATTATTTCTTATCTGAGAATATATTTTATTAGTTTCTACTAAAATAAAAAAAGAATAACGCTATAATTCTTACTAAAAAATGATATTATTCATGTTTCGATTATTCTTTAAACTCTAGATAAATAACTGAAAATCATAACAAACGAATAATCGAATCATTTTCTTTTAAGTATAGGATAAATCAAAACATATTTTATTCTCTTGTTATAATCATTTTACTTTAGCTGATTCAAATATATTTCATTTTTATCAAGTACTTTCTTTTATTCAAAAAAAAAATTCTGACAAAATTTCGACATGTACAATAATGAACAAAAATATTCATCAAAATGTTTTGGTCGAACAAATGCCTTATCCATATGAAGTCCTTTTAACTTCGAACAATAAAATCGCATTGCATCATTGGTGAAGTTGTTTGTTACAGTTTCGAGTGATTCATATGTGATGCAGAGATCCAATAAACAAGGTA